CAGCTTGCTTAATGGAGGATGAAGAAAAGGGAGGAGGAAGGTGAGCATCGAATTAATTGCAGAGAGCAGAGGTGCTATCCCATTTGTTTCCAAGCATCTCTCCTGGTGGAAAAGTCCCTCAGTGCTGCTGGATGTGGAAGATGGGATGAAATCCACGCGGCCAAATCCTAAAGCACTCATGGAGGACTCGCTTGCAGGTTGCAGAAAGACAAACAGCCCTTAATCCTTTTGTATTTTCCTTTCTCCAAGGAGGTCGGTTGGCTCCTCAGCGTGGGCTTTGCAGCTGGATTCCTCTCCTCCTTGTTGAGCCAAGGCTGTGGCATCACAGTCCCCATGCATGACCAAGGTGTGGATGTTGGTGCTGGGTTTGCAGTGCAGACAACAACGCTTAGGGCCCCCCCAGAGCCTGCACAGCCCCCACTGCCTCCTCGCAGTGCTCCAGAACTGGGGGCTGCAGACCATGAGCCTTCACTGCTGCTCCTCGCGGCGTCTTCATCCCATCAATGCAATAAATCTCATAGATTTCATAGATCCCATGGGTTCCATACATCCCATAGATAACACAGATCTCACAGATCCCGTAGGTGCATGGACCTCATAGATCCCACAGATCTCAGAGATCTCATGGATCCCATAGATCCCACAGATCTCGTAGGTCCCATAGATCCCATAGATCCCACAGGTGCTTAGATCTCACAGATCCCATAGATGCCATAAGTGCACAGATCCCATAGGTCTCATGGGTCCCAAAACTGCACAGATCCCATCAAATCACATAGGTCACATAGATCCCATAGATCCCATAGGTGCATAAATCCCATAGATCCCATACGTGTGAACATCCCACAGCAACACAACGTCTGCACCTTGGACCCAGCACAGCACAACAACCTGAGCAGCCCCAAGCTCTGCTTTCCCTGAGAGCTCTCCATCCACTGGATGCTCTCTGATGCCAATGGAGAACCCAAAAGCTTCAGGGAGCGGGGAGATATGAAACATCAGAGTGACATATAGGATCGGGATAGGGAAACACTTGGCAAATAGGGCATCAGAACAAAGATTTCCTTCTGAGCTTTCTCAGCAGTGGAGAAGCAGAGAAGCCTGGGGTGTTTCAAGCCAAGAGGAGCTCAGGGCCATTCCCTTCATGCATCACCACGCTGTTCCTCCCGCAGAAATACCCAAACCAGGGCGCATTTTGGCTGGGCTCACCCCAAACCCCACCCCCAAGCCAAGACATTCTGATGTTTTCTCGGTGCCAAACTGCTTAGCACATCTGGCTCTCTATTTCAGAGCTGTCATTTTCCTGGCTGTTAGAGGAGAGAATATGTTAAAGAGCAGCCTGGGTTTGCAGCACAGCTCCGGCGAGAGACGTGACATGTTTATTTTCCCCGTGCCAACTTGCACATCAAACGTGTTTTCGTTCCTTGCTTTGCAGTGGGGAATATTCTCCCCTCCTTTTGCAATGGGGTCTGGGCAGCCTTGGAGCCCCACTGCGCAGAGCTGCCTGCAGGTTGGTGCTGCTGCTGCTCCGTGGTGCGAGCAGCAAGATGGGAAAAGGACTTCTGATCGGGGATGGGGGGGAAGGGAGGAACACGAGGTTTGGTGTGACCCAAATTTCAACCTTTCTTTTGGGTTTTAAGCACTATGGGGGGGGGGGGGGGAGGAAAGGAGCACAGAGGGAAGAAGTGCTTTCAGAAACAAAGCTATTTCACATTAAAAAAAAGAGCGAGAACGTGTCAGCTCCTTTGAAATGTTTGCTTGTTTGCTCATCTCCCAGAGCCAAACAGCCAGGGAGTCGTCTGCAGCACTGCAAGACGTTGGGACTGACCCAAATCTGTGCCTCTCTACAGCTGAGCATCCCCCAGCACAGCACCAGGGCTTGGGATGCTCTATGGGACGCGGACCCCTCCTCCCCTAGGGGTGGTGCTTTGTTTTCCTCTTGGTTCTTTCTTCTTCTTTTATTATTATTACTATTATTATTATTATTATTATTATTTCCATTATAGACATCGTTTAAAAAAAATAAACTTTACAATAATACATTTTGTAGCCGTCGCCGTTGGAGCGCTTCCTTTTTAAAAAATAAAGAGGAAAGGAAATTTTAGAAAGCCACACCATAGATGTACATGGTTATGTATATACATACATGTCTGTAGGTATAGGTGAGTGCTATATACATACGCTATATATGTATATATAAAAGAAAACTGAGTAACATACATAGGATTCCAACCACTGCTGGGGCTGGATCCCATTCCAACCCAAATCCGGTGGAATGAAGATGGGAAACAAAGAAATAATTGAAGAAAAAAAAAAAAAAGAGGAAAATAATAAAAAGGAAAATCTCCCCCCCTCCGAGTGACAGATAGAAAACATCAGGACAACCTCACACCGTTTCAATATTGGTTTCTTTTCTGATTTTAAAACTCTCACCAACCACGGGAAAGGAAAAGAAAATGGTCCCGGGGACGACGTGGAGCGGCGGAGCGCAGTCTGTGCCCAAAGGAGCCCCAATGGCACCGCTGTGCCGCGGCGATGCGCAAACGTCCCACGTCCCCAACGGGTCCCTGCAGCACGCTGGGTTGGTGACCCTGCAGACAGCCCCTGTCCCAGAGCTCTGCTCGTTGCCTTTTTCCCCTCCCCGGTGCCGTTGACCGCGTTGGTTCCCCTTTTGTGGGTGCCTGGGTGGGTTGTGCCGGGCTCGCGCTCGAGCGTAGAAACCCAACGCACCATTAAACGAACAAAAAGGCCAAAAAAAAAGAAAGGAAAAAACAAAGAAAAAAGAAAACCATCAAAGTTTCCCAGCACTGTGAGGGTCCTTCTGGCCTTCTGGCATCGCTGGTGTTCCGCTTGCAGTCTGGAGCCCGAGGTGAGCGCAGCGCTCCCGAGCTGAGGATGCGGCAATCTTCCCTATAGCAGCAGCTTCAGCAGCATGATGGGCACAGCTGGAAGGATCAGGGCTGCCTGGTGCCGGCTGCCAGCTGCCTTTTGGTCCACAAAGGTCTTCTGGTCTGGCATCGTGTCCGTGGTGAGCTGGGTCTGGGATGGGGGACAGCGGGGATCAGCAGCGCGCTCAGAATTTGGGGGGGAAGCATTCAGTTTTGGGATACATCTCTTTATTATTATTATTATAATTATTGGCTCACTAAGCAATGAAAACAACAGTCCATGGGGAAGTGACTGTGGGTCCCCATCCATCTGCTGGTGACAGGTCCCCACCCAACTGAAGCAGATGATGGCTCCCAGCACCAGACCCCCTTCCCAAACCTCCCCTTGCCCCAAATTACCTCTGAGTAGCACAGGCTGTGCTCTTTGGACTTGTTTAGCTTCTGTCCGTGCTCCTGGAGGAGAGAAAGGAGGCTCAGGGCATGCTCATGCACGAGGGCTGCATCCCAGCTGGCTCAGGATCTTTGCTACACACTTAATTACTGTCTTTTTTTGCAACCAAAAGCTGCAAGCATGCATTCAGCCCCAGGCCCGTTTGCCCTGCTGCAAATCCTCCCGTGTAGAAAGCAATGTCCCCTGCCTGCTCCCATCCCAGAGCAAAGCATCAAGCCAGCAAAATGCAAGAAAACACACCTTTTCCAGATTGCCCAAAACCACATGGAGCGTAATTGGTTTTCATCCTGACCAAGCCAAGGGCATAAGTGGGGCTCTGAGCAGGGCCTGAGCATGGAGTAGGGCATGGATCCTCCTGTTCTTGCACCTCAGCCCCTGTGCTCCCAGTTTCCTTCCCCCAGCACCCAGGGGGCAGTGAAATGGAGCCGCCGACCATCTCACAGAGCCATTAACCAGAAAACAGCAGAGCTGATTACTCAAGCACCACGGATCTAATTGGAGGCTGCCCATGGGTGACACTGTGTGGGTGAAAGCAATGCTGACCACGTGCACAGCATTCACCAGGCACAGCAGTGGCTTTGCTGCAGAGCCACTTGGAGAAGGACTGTGGTGGCCATGCACGTGGGGTAACAACAGCCCATCCAGACCACATCCAGCTCTTGAGCTGAGCTGAACTTCTTGGTGGGCTCAGTGATGATGGGTTGACAGTTGACTTGATGACTAGAGAATCTTTTCTAACCTTAATGATTCTGTGATCCTATGGGCACAGTGGTGATGGGTTGATGGTTGGACATGCTGATCTTAGCAGTCTTTTCCAGCTTTAATGATTCTATAATTTCCTGCACCAGCACAACTAGTCAGCTGCAGAGTTCCTACCTGGATGGAGGTGCAGGTGGTGATGATGCTCGTGTCATACATGGTGTTGCTGTCATTGATGTCATCAGGCACGGCAGGGCTTTTCTCCATCTTGGGAGGCACTGTGATGGGAGGTGAGGGGTTCTTGGGGGAGAGGTTGACATCAGTGCCGTTGCCAAAGGCTTGGATGGCGTTTCCTGAGGGTAGGAGAAGGTGTTGACGTGTGGACTTAGGAATGGGATGGGATGGGATGGGATGGGGATGGGGATGGGGATGGGGATGGGGATGGGATGGGATGGGATGGGATGGGATGGGATGGGATGGGGATGGGATGGGGATGGGATGGGGATGGGATGGGGATGGGATGGAGTAGGGTGGGATGGGATGGATGGGGGAGAGCCTTACGGAGACAGGGGTTCTCAGTGAAGTCCCTCAGGAATTTCTCACACTCCTCCTCCAGGTTACCACTGCCCTTGCAGGAGCACCAGGGCGAGATGGTGATGCTGGTGATGCTGGCATCCACGTAGTTGGGCGTCATATCAAAACCTGCACCACATGCAGAAGAGGAAGTAAGATGAAGGTTTGGGGAGGGGTTGTGGCTGGAGGGAGCTCTCTCCCACCCATCCCAGCACTCACCAATGAGCCCTGTGTAGGAGCCCAGGCACGCCTGGTAGTTGTCCCCAGGGCAGCTGGTCAGTGACTGGAAGGAGGCCTGGCAATTGGCGTGGAAATCAGCCAGTCGGGACCTGGGAGCAGAGAGCAGGGAGAGGAAACAGGATTTCCCACTTCTGCAATGTGGGAGCAAAATCTTAAAAGTAAAAAATAAAAATAAATGAGATAGAGGAGAGAGAGATGAGAGCTGGAGGCTCAGCAGTTGCACGAACCCACGAGCACAGGGCACTCATCTCCATCCGTTGCTGCTTCCCATTCCCCTCCCATCACCACGCTGCCAACATCCCATAAACATCACCGTCTCATCACGCTGCTCCCGGCATCATTACACGACTGTAAAATTTGACTACTTGTTTTCATCTCCCTTTGAAACGTGAAAGCTTAGAGTGCAATTAAAGCGCCTGAGGTTGAGAGAGAGATTTTTTTTCCCTTCTGTGACTGAGGTGGGAAAAAAACAAAGCAGAGAACCCAGGATTGGGATGGGCCCACGTGCCTACTGCCCTCCTCCACTTATTGAAGTGCAGACACCAGGGAGGATGGAAACGTGGTTGTATTTGGGTGTATCGGTCACCCAGCACTGCTGATAGAACCAAATCCACACCAAAAGAAATGAAATAAAATCCCGCGGCTCCCATTCAGCCCCAGCACAACGCTCGGGATGGATGAACCGCGTGAAGGCTGAAGAGGAGGGGAAGGATGGAGGAGAGGATGGACAGACGGTGTGGGCAGACAGATGGATGCAGAGCTTTCCCCATGGACTCGGACACCAAATGAATGGACGTGAGGCTGAGCTGTGGCCCACGTTGGATCTCAATCACACGGAGGAGCTGCTGATTTGCTGACACCGGAGATGAGACCTCGTGTTTCACAAGAGAAAATCTCCTCCGTTCCTTTTCTCGCACGTCATATAGAAAGAAGGAGGCATACATTATTTCCTTCCTTCCTTTCCCTTCCTTCTTAATTAAATGTCATCTTTGTCCAAGCAGTGATTGAATCATCCCGCGCTACCTGCCTGGAGCCATAAGAACTGATGGAAGCGAAGGCTGGAAATTGTGTTGTTTTTTAAATAGGAATGATTTGTTTTCGGGAGGTTTTTGATCAAATTAAATGGAGGAACAAATGAAGCAGTGACTGAACGAGGTAGAAAGACTCTGCAGAAATACTTTGCGTTTATCCAACGCTTCTCCGCACCGTGGGTTTCAAGTGCATTAAGGGGAAGGAGGGGGCAGATTCAGCCCCATTGCCTCATGATACATGGGGAGTGCTGGCAAATAGCAGCAATGCACCTGTAGTGGAAATGCTAAGTCATGGCTTGAAGCAGTGATGGAGCACCTGGTGGGAAGGCAGGGCCAACCCAGGGGAGCTCAGCTGTGTGCAATGCAATGCACTGATTGACCTGAAGGGCTGGAGCCAGGATCCACCCCTTCCCAGCCCTCATTTGAGCAAATCCTCGCTTGCTGTAGCCTGGGACCTCACTGTTCTGCTATCATTGCTGTGCTTTCCATCGTGCTACAGCACCTCTCAACCTTGCAGGTGGGGATGTCTGCTCACTTGCATAGGAAAAGCTGGGGTCTTGCTCCCATTTGTAATATGGAGAAGAAGGGTGAGCCCACACAGGCTTTGCACTGCAGCAAATCTCTATCCCTACTCCCTTCCATGGTTTCCACTGCTGGGAGGGATTCTGGCCTCCCCCTTTGCTCTGCAGGAGATAGATTTTCCAACATCATTCCTCTCCCCAAATCAGAGGCGAAGGCACGTCAGTTCTCTTAAAGAACTGTGGCAAGTTCATCACAGAGTGCCACAAAAATTTGTCATGCTGATCCCTGGGGCCCTGCTCCTGGCTTGTAGCATCCTCTAAGGCAAATGTTATTCTTTTCATAATACATGACAAGCCAGCTGGTAATCTTTCCAGAATATCCAAGCCAGATGTCACTCTTTCCGTTGTATACAATGAGTTTGGAGTCGGTGGATGAGGCTCTAACTGCCAGGAATAAACCTTGCTGGAAGCAGCCCATGGCTTCTCAGATTTCTGCTTTTAAGTGCCCAGGCAAAAGGGAGATGGAACCGAAGCCAAGTGCATCTGAGCAGAAAGAGAGGGATTTGTGCCAAGTGCTGGCTTGTTATGCAGGGTGGCAGGTGGGCTCGGCCAGCCCCTGTCTCAAAGTGCTGGCAGCTGGGGTCAGCACAGGAGGCAGCGAGCGCAGCCATGAGGACACGAAGGAGTGGAAAAGGGAGTAGCAAAAATTCTATTTTCCCATAATTTTCTATATTTATGCATCCTCGAGCCAGCCTGAGCACTGGATTTCAAAGTTTGGGCTTCCCAAGCTGTTTCCCTTTGATGCAGCTACAAAACGTTTGATCACTGGGTAGGAGGACGTGGGTGATGCCAAGGGTTTGCTGCTGCTTTTCCCTGCCCAACTCCAGCTGACCCTCATACATCCCCCCTGAACACAAACCCCTCCAAGCCAACCCTTCCGTGGTGGAACCTTCATCTTTAGATTCTTTCCAGCCCTAATGCAAGACCCCTGCACCCATCCTGGAGCATAAGGTCGTGCCCAGGACCCACTGTGGTGGCTCATCCCCCACTCATTGTGCACTGCTGCAGGGAGCAGCCCATCCATCCCACTGCTCTCTCCCTGCGTTGCCGTGCGCAGGACTCCAGCACGACACCTCCCTCTGATACTCAAAGATACCTGCACAGCAGAGGGCTTTGATTGTTGGTTTTCTTTCTGCTTGTTGGCACATCACAATTTCTAAGCAGAAAAATCCCCGCAACAGATGCAAGGTGCCTAATTGGGTGCTAATTGTTCCCATCACCGCATGCCTATACGAAACCCGAGCCCTGCGCTGGTGATAACTCACTATCCATCAAAGCAAACAGTATCAGGCTCTTGAATATTTCATGCAGAAAATGTCCGAGATTACTCAAGACGTGTTTTTCACAGGCAATTTACAGAGAACCAAGGAAAAATGGCTTTAATAGACACCAGCACGGAGATGTGCATCAGGAACATGTCTCACCCCTGGCAGCAGATGCTCACAAGGCTACAAGATGCATAGCCCAGCAGCCCAGCCCATGAAAAAACCCCAGCTGCCCTCCACCCACCCCGCTCACTTCTCCAGTTTGTTCTCCAACAGGAGAACCCCAAAATACAGAGCAAGAAAGGCTAAGCTAACAAGAGAAAAAGAAACTGAGGATGGATGGACAGATATAGGGCTGAGTTGGGAGCTGCTAAGCAAGAAGTTTGTTCATCCAGATGTATTTTTGGGACGCTGCGTTTTGATTCATCACAGATAAGAGCGGTTCAATGATTATTTTTTTTTTATCCTCTTGCCTATGCTCAAACCCTATCATTACCCGGCAAGAGAAGGGAAGAATTAAACACACGCATCATTTGATTTTAATTGAAGGACTGTTCTATTTCATTGAACTGCTAACTAAGCCGAACAGGAGATTGTGTTTACATAAGCAAACCCTGAGTCAGTATAGACTTGCTGTCACATTAAGTCAATACTTATGAAGGCTCTCTATTTAATTATTCAGTGTGAATTGACTTATTTTGTTAAGAGTGTGCTTAGCCTTGAGCGAGGCGGCCACCAAGCCTTGATTGCTGCTGGCTGCCTCCATACATGGGTGCCCATAGGTGCCCATAGGGTGCAGGGAGCAGTACACCTCTTCCATCCTCCCTGTTCCTTCCTTTGGTGGGAACCCAAAGCCACCAATCCTCACACATTTGATATTTAAGATGAATTTGGAGATTTTCCTCATAGGTTATTGCAGCGTGCCACTGGGACCCCACTGACCATGACATGCCCTACACAAGATCCCACCGAGATCCCACTGACCATGCCACGACACACTCAAGACCCCATTTGGACCCCACTGACCATCCCATGTCCTGCTCAAAACCCTGTTGGGACCCCAGTGATGTTGACCATGCCACGTCCCACTGGAGACCCCACCGAGACCCAACTGACCACATCATATCCTACACAAAACCCTATTGGGGTCCCACTGTCCATGCCCTTGGGGCCCCATTGACCACACCGTGTCCCACTCAAGACCCTACTGACCGCTTCATATCCCACACAAGACCCCTTTGGGACCCCCTTGACCATTCCACATCCTGCTCAAGACCCTGTTGGGACCCCAGTGATGTTGACCATGCTATGTCCCACTCAAGACCCCATTGACCGTGTCATATTCTACACAAGACCCCATTGAGACCCCACTGTCCTTGCCCTTGGGACCCCATTGACCACACCATGTCCCACACAAGATCCTATTGGGACCCCCTTGACTTTGCCCTCAGCACTGCTCCTCTGTGTCACTCCCAGAATGGCTGATAAATCCAGGAGCATTCTTCCCCTCCTCCTCAGATGGATGCAGACAGCTGAGCCACGCTCCTGAGCTGCTCATTACACGGTAATGAGAAAGTTGAGCTGCTGCTCTGCTGTTTATCAAGGAAACATCCATTATGGATGGCACTTTGTGCTAAACAAAGGGCGCGAAGGTTTGAAGGAACGCGTGCTGTTCCCGTTGGATCAATATGGAGCCAAACCTCCCCGAGAAAGAAATGCTTCCCCTCCCCAGGGCTTTGCACAGCTTCCAAAACACAGCCAAAATGGGATCATTTCCAGCCCAGCTCTGCAAAAACAAACCCCACTGCCGCTCCTTGGGGCACTGCTACCTCCATCCCTCATCCCCAGCCACAAAAACTGCTGAAAAGCACTGAAAAATGGAGAAAACTGAGGCAACTGAACACCACCACTCTGCCTTTGGATGCCGAGGAGCTACAGTGGAGGCAGGGAAATTCTTCAGCACCGGCATCAGTGAAGCATATAAGACCAGATTATTTGTGTTCCCGACTTGCTGATGCAAGATGAAAAATACAGCAAACTGCAGCTGCTGAAATCAGCTCTTTTCTCCCCTCTCCTTCCCTTTCCCCTTAGCTGAGGTTAGTGTTTTGCAAAAGGTTTTTATATTCTGGGAGCTAAAACCTGTCCGTTGCAATCAGACACAAAGCTCGGGGAGTTTGTCAGGCTCCTCCGCCGTGCTGGGAAAAGCTTCTTGGCACAAAGAGCTGTGCAAATTGCAGCGAGCTGGGCTTGATTGCACCCTGGGAGCTGAGCCTGGGGACTGGGCATCCCATGGGGAGGGGTTGGTGGCCCCAGGGCTGCCCCTTTACAGAGCATCCCCCGCACAGAGTGCTGGACAGAGAGGGCTCCAGGCTGAAATAGCAGCAGGGCACGTTGTGTGCACACAGTGTGCCGGAGCTCTCCCCATCCCAAACAGCACCAGTGGCAAAACCCTCTGTCATCTGTAAAGCAATGTCAATCGAGAAACAAATCCTTTCCTTTTACTCCTGCAGAGAGTTCTGCTCAGGTGGTTTGGCCCGGATAGGTCACAGCTTTAAAGTGCTTTCACAGCTGCAAACACATTGAGGTCATGCGAGCTGCTGGAGCACGTCAGCATCCCCAGGGGGAGAGCATCAGCATCCCTGGCTGCCCCGAAGGTGCTTAACCCCTCCTGCACCCCAGTGCTGCAGCCTGCTCCATGCAAGCTATTCGCAGCCAGAAGCAAACCAACCCACACTCCTCAGCCCCCCCAGGATTAGCAGGGATGGGCTGTGACCTTTGTGCAAACCCAGGTCAGATTGCACACACACACACAGGGCCCTGCGAGGGTCCCATCACGGGGAGGAAACAGCTCAGAGGAAAGCAAAGCTCTGCACACCAAACCCCAGAAATAAATGGTGGGTTTATCCACCTCTCCCCAGCCAGGCATTTCCATGCTGCTGCCAAAAAATGCATTCCCCTATGAGCAAACAGCCCCAAAGCTGCTGACGTGGGTTATTCACCTCCGCGGCACCGAACTCCTGAGCAAGCGTCTCCCACTGATGGAGAGGTGCTGCCATTAATTTGGCTGCGGCTCAGCACAGCCCTGCTATCTTTTATTCATGCACATTGGCGTATTGTATTACTTTTTGATAAAAAGCCACATTCCCACGCTTTGAACGCAGCCAGAGGAGGACCCGGAGCGCTCTTATTTATTTTGCCACCGGGCTGCGGGAACCTCCATCACCCTGATGGCACCGAGACCCTCCTCCTCGCAGGAAACTTCGTCTTGATGTGCCTGATCCGGGGCCTGGGGGGCAGCAGGAGGATTTTTTGCTGTATGAATAATGAGTTTCATAATAGAGAAGAAGCCTCATCTCCCCCTGACTTCGCTCCGCCGCACAGAAAACGGCGCGTATGGCAGCAATGAGGTTTTGCTGGGGATGCTGACAGCACAGCGATGGGATTTGGTTGGGTGTGGGCACTGAAACCACCACGGAGAGCTCTGTGCCCTTGTCATTCATTTCAAGAAAGGTCAATTAGCTGGCCTTATAGCTTGGGGAGATGGAGCAAACCACCCTCCAACCCCTGGGCTCACCTACAATGAGTGTTCCCCTCTGCTTCCTTCCCACCTTAAAGACTGAAGGCATCTCTGGCTCACAGGCTTTGCTGCCTCCTCCTATTCCGTGCATTTTGGAGATGTTACTGTACTACTAACTACAAAAAAATAAATGTGGCATCAATGAGGAAGCACTCATCTTCAAAAAGAACTAAATTTACAACATTCTGCTGCCTGGAAGAGTCAAGAGTATGGAAGTTGTAGACAAAACACGCTGAATAAAGCTCAGATTGCAAAAGCCCCATGGAATTTCCCTAGAGCAAAGGATCCCTTGTCAGAGAAACTCTGGCCTTTAAAGTGCATGTAGAGCGAAAACAAGAACAAGAAACACTCCATGTAGAGCAAAAACAAGAATAGGAGACATTTCACGTAGAGTGTAGTACGGGGGAGGAGCACCCAAACACTTGGACTGATGAAATAAGGGTGAATCACAACAAAGCCTTCTTCTCAACGCGCTCCAGGCCACCTCCCAACCCAACACCTCTCCACGAGCAACCACAGCCGCGACCCTCCCTCACCGTGCACCAAACCAGGAGGAGACCCAGGAGGATGCAAAGAGCCACGCAACGAAACTGCCTCCAACCCAACCACATCCCCATTACCGGCAGAGGTGGTCGGCGCGGCACACGTTGCGCAGATCCAAGCAGTTGGGTTTCTCCTTGTCCTCGTAGGAGCAGGAGGGGACGATGGTTTGCCGCCGGCGCTCGGCGCACGCCTGGTCCTTGCAGGAGCAGAAGAGGAGGCGGTAGGTGAACTCGCTGGGCACGCGGTCGAAGAACTGGCGCAGGGCTTTGTGGCATTTCCGCCGGACGCAGTGCTCGGTAGGTGAGACCTCCCTGCTGCAGGTGGAGATGTATCCCGAGCGCAGGCGCTTGCAGTTGTCGTTCAGGTTGCACGCTTTGGCCGCGTCGAGGCAGTGGTTGCTTTTGGAATTGGTGGCGGGGTCCATTCCTGCAAAGAGGGGAGAAGAGCTGAGAAGGGGGTGAAGGCAATGCGGGATGAGGATTTGGAGGTGGGGAGGGTTTGGATTCAGTTTTCACCCAGTGCGTGATCTGGACTTTGACTTTTAATTGGGATCTGTTAATGCAGTGGGAAGACCCTTCTCCAATGTGGGAAGGGTCATCCTCCAGCACAAAAAGGGTCGATCCACACCCAGTGCACAAAGGGATGCAGTCAAGCAGCCCTCAGTGCATAACTCACGCAGTGACTTTGCAGTCGTTTTTTTTCTCTAGTTAATTATTTCAGGAATAATTATTAATTATCCAGGCTGCTCTAAAGCAGAACCATTTGCTGAACTGCACAGGGCCCAAGCAATCCCCACCAGGACCCCCAAATCCAGGTCACCCCACGAGCTCCTGGGGGAAGGATGGGGTCAGAGCTGCCACCAGCACTAAGCTGCATCCCACACCGCTGGGAATCCCAACCGTCAGCAAACACGGAGGAGAAGAGGGCACGGGAGGAGCTGAACCACCGAGCGGGAACAAGCGCTGATTTTTTCTTTATTTTTGTCAAAATGATGAATTGCCCTTGGCAGGCCAGGTGCTATTTTAAAGTCACCTGACTGCACCAGCAATTTCTCCCCTAATTTCCTCTCCTGCGCAGCCCAGCCAATTCTGTGGACTCTTCCATTGTCTCCTGCTTCCCGCTGGCAAAGACAAATGACAGCACCGAGGAGAGTTCCCTACCAGGCGTATTTGTAGGGCCCGGCTAATTAGCAAAGAGCAATCGGGTGCAGTGGAGAGTGCTGCTCCCCTCGTTGCTTTGCTTCCCATGGAGTGATGACCACAACCCAGGGAGCATTTTGGGACAGCACAGGACCAGATTTGTCTCCATTCCAGAGGTCTTAATAAACTTGGTGAGAGCATCCCAACCAGTGTGGGCATCCCAACCTGTGTGGGCATCCCAACCAGTGTGAGCATCCCAACCAGTGTGGGCATCCCAACCAGTGTGAGCATCCCAACCAGTGTGGGCATCCCAACTTGATGTGGGCATCTCAACACAGATGATCACAAGCACTACCTGCATTAACAGATCCCAATTAAAAGTCAAAGCACGACACCCCTTAGTTTTGTCCCATGCAAACTCCCAGTTCCTACACCCCATAGGTGACCCCATACGCACACCCAGCAGCATCCCTGAGCTGCTCTCAGGATGCCACCAAGTGTCACCTGTGTGATGAATGCCCCACATGGGAGCAGGGCGAGGAGCTCGATACGACATGCGTAAAGTGAGTCCTTATGATATATGATTTATAAGCAGATCTGCCTTGAAAAATAGTGCGAGAAGCAGGAAGGTCGTCTGAGCTAAGAGAGATGTTTTAGCTGGAGATGAGAGGAATAAAGCTGGGAGGGGGGGAGAAAGGAGCAAAGATGAGACATAGAGGGCTTTGCAGCCCCAGAATGGGGTTGGGGCCGGAATTTGACTGCAGGAGCCCACCAACCCTGCCATGCAATGGGTTCCCTCCAGCTGAGGATGGAGGCAGCTCATGACACTGATGCCAGCAGAACAGAAAGGGGAAAAGGATTTGAAGAGGATGGGTGAAGTGTGGCCTTCATTCCTGCTCCAAGTCAGCTCCTGCTCAGCACTGGGATTCACGGAGCACCCGTGGGCTCTGTGCAAAGCGCCAACTTATTGCCTAATCCTCCTGAGCAGCTGCTGCCCTGCCCCGGACCTGCAGGGACCTGGCTGCATGCTAATGGAGCGGCTGCTCGGGAGCGCAGCGTTTCTGGGGAGCTCATTAATAAAGCACAAGCATGAAAATTTCATGAGGCAGAAAGGGAAGGAGGGCTGCGGAGCGCTGGGGGACGCGGTGCCACCGGCCGACCCCTGGGCATAGGATGAGGATGGGGGAAGGAGGAGGAGGGTGAGGAAGGCAGCGCTGCTCCGTGATGCCCATTGCTTTTGTGGGACGACCCCAAAGCTTCCAAGCAAAGGGCTGGGAGCTGTGTGAAGCAGAGCTGTGCAAACCTTGGCACCGATCCGCGCTCCCCGCGCAGCCCTGGGCGATGCACTTGATCCTGCTGCTCCAATTCCCCCTCATGCCAGCAACCAGAGCTGAGGTTTTCCCCTCCTTCCCCTCTCCTGCTTTGCATGCAGGCTGCCTCTTCTGCAGGGTGCTCTGCGAGCATCCTCACCTGCTGCTCTGCCTTCCGGGACCCCCAACCTCCCGCTCCCCCCTTATGCCCACACAGAGCATCTCTCCCTGCTTCCCCAGCCCCTTCCTTCCAGCAGGGTAATGTAATCCCCTGCTATCCCCATAGGCAATTAGCAGCGTGCCGGCTCAGCCTTGTTATCCAGAAACAACAAGAGCAGCTCATTTGCTTCGAGCACACGGCTGCCCTCACCCCCAGCCCTGCTTAAATCCTGCATGGGAGGGGGGATGGAGAAGGGCTGGGATGGGAGCAGCAAGCCCACCCCCATGGCCATGGCAGAACATCCCATTCCCCTTCCCCAAAAGGCAGAGAGGTTTCCTTCTGCTCTCGCTTTGCTTTTATGAATAAATCAGCCCGTGAGCGTTTAATCCCCCGCTCCAGACACTCCGCTTCTCATACTTTCCAGCAGCTAAAATATTTCCTTGATGGTAATGTAATCCAAAAAGGCGTGCGGGAGACAGGAGGAGGTGGCATCGCCTCCTGATCCAGTGCTGAGCACCCAAACCCCTTCAGGTGATGGCAAAAAGGGTCCCCCAAGGCGCGGAGGGTTCCCAGGGGGTATGCAGGGTCCCCAAAGCCCCCATTTGGCTCTGAAGAAAAGGGTTCAGAGGAGAAGGAGAAGCCACGGAGCTGCTGACCTAAATTTGAAAGAGGGTTGTCATGGAAATAGATGGCAAAAAGGAAATTCCTAATGGACCCGTGTGGGGTTTGGGCTCCCAAGAGCTCCGAGGGGCTCTGAGCAGCATCTCTGGGGTTGAGAGAGCAAGCATCGCCCCTCAGCACCAGCTCTGCCAGCAGAGAGATGCCCAAAGCATGAGGGAGATGCAAATGGGGGAGTGGGGAGGGCTGGAGATGCCATGGACCCAACCACGGCTGCAGGTCTCATTGGCACGGAGCTCAGCTGCAAGATATATTCATGGGTGAGAGAGGATAAAGCAGGGGCAGCACGCCGGATGGATTACCTGAGAAAATTGAAGCGAGTCTGAATATATCAGAGAGACGAGAGGTGATCGGCTCGTAGGGGGAAGCTTCATAAAACTCTTCTCCTGGAATGGGGCGGGGAGGAAGAGAAAAGGGAGAGAAAGCAAATGAAAGACCCCAAAAAGCAAATGAAAGACCCCAAAAAAGCAAATGAAAGACCCCAAAAAGCAAATGAAAGACCCCAAAAAGCAAATGAAAGACCCCAAAAAAGCAAATAAAAGAGAAGGAGCGCAGCCACTCTGAGCATCTCCCTCCTGCAGTCGGGGAAGGGCAAAGCAAAAAGGGGGTTGGGGGCTCTGTAGGGGTTGGGGGGGCCCTTGTGGGGCTGCTCAGGTCAGCTTGGTGCCGGCAGCTGCCTGGTATCCGGATTTGGGTTTGGCAGAAGCTCAGTCCATCCTTTCCATTCAGAATGAAAGGTCGGTGCTCCAGCTGCAGGATGGAGGTTTGGGGCTTGTGCTCAGTGCTGGATTATTAATTATTTTCCATTTTTTATATGGGGGGAAAAAAAAAAAAAAAAAGCATAAAAAAAGCATTTCCTTACTCAAAGCAAAGCACTGCCATGAAATGCTTTCCACCCTGCGCTTGGTGCAGCCCCACGAGGTGATGTCAGGAGAGCCGCCCGCAGCTCCCGCCAGAGGAAATGCTCTCCTCCAACCCCACCGGCCACAAGGTTTAAAGAATAATAACATATACAAATATGTATACAAAAAAGAAATCAATGGCCAGGCTGGGAAAGCCCAGCCTGAGGCTGACCTGCAGCCCAGAGCATTGATTTCCATGGGACCTTTGGGCAGAGTCCTGCACCCTGTGGTGATGCTGGGCGCTGCTATGGGGCAGGGGATGCTTCTGCTGTCACTGCTGGTGGGAAAGGAGCGTGCTCTGAGCTCCGTGTCCTCCCATTCTGCTGGGTTTCCCAATGCCCCGATGACAAATTGCACCTTTATTAAAGTGCATTTAGGAAACGCTGTAACCTCTCGCTATATTGCTTTGCCGATGCAATAAATAATTAAATACCAGCTGAACCCTGCTGCTCGCTAGGAAAATTAGCCAGCATTAGAAGGGCAGTGGACTTTTCTTGAGCTCACCGAGATGCAATTAACCTCCAGGAGTGGAAGCAGCACTCCTTAATGGTAGCTGCTGCCCAAGGGCTGGGGTGCAGCATACTTCTGAGAGGCACGAGGTTGGGCTCTGCCTTGGGCTCCGTGCAGTGTTCCACCCCCTGCTCTGTGCACACAGCCCCCAACCTCTCTCCTCCAAAAATGGGACATCTCCCATTTTCCCATCGCCATCAAGACCCCCTCCATTCCCTCTCTGAAGGAAGGCTGCTAACGAGGGGCAGGGAGCAATTAGCAGCAATTCCTACTCTGGGTCAGTTTTGGGATTGCCCTTCCCTGCACTGATCCAGCTCAGAGGGATGCTCTGCCCTCCACCAGGACAGGCTGCTCCTGTGCCAGAGTGCGTTCTGTCCCCCAAAATCGGAAGGAGGAGGCTCAGAACCACCCAGCACCCGATGGCAGGGCAAAGCACAGAGGGTTGAGGGCTGTGCCCCACTGCCTCCAGGCAGCAGATAACGCTGCCTTCTGTGAACAAACCAGTGCTGCTCTGGCAAAATCCAATTTCAATTACCTGCGCTGCTGCGGTCTCTGATTTATGCCTCCACTGGGCTGCAATCAGGACTGCCTCCGAGGGCTGCGATATCCCTCTGCTTCCACCCCTTCTGAGCGAGGTTAGAGGGGCTTGGGGGCCATAGGGTTCAACCTCTTCACCCAGGGGGGGCCCATGGACTGCTGCAAGGACCTCAGTCTCAGCACTGGGCTCACTGGGAAGGGTGAGCAGCAGCGGAAGGGGAAATGATCTCAGGAAACCCTCACCTGCCCTTTACCTCTGCAGAATTCATGGTGTTTAAAATGAAAACGGCAGACACAGGGATTGCCCAAATCCATGGGAAAAAGCCCCATTTCTTCCAGCATTTATGGCAAGCGAGATCTGGAACAGCTGCCCTCATTCCAGGCAGCAGAGAAGGGTCCCCAACCTCTTGCAGGGTGGAATGAGGGAAGAGCATCCTCACACCCTCCCCCCATCAGCATCCTCCAAGCGCTCTCCCCATGCAAATCCCACCCCAACATCCCATACCTTCGGCCAGCCCGAGGTGTATACTCCAGTAGATCTGAAGGCACTGAAGCTCCTTTTTCATGCCCCTCTTGCAATGGCAGTCGTACAGCGGGCTTTCCTGCAGCACCTCCAGGGCCGCCTGGCATTCCTTGTTGGCCAGCATGGTGTTACGGTCTCGTCCCGCCAGGCACTGCCGCAGGGTGCGGTACCTGGAGCTGCAGCTGCCCTCGGATGCACACAGCTCACTGGCACGCACGCAGTCCACCGGAACCCGCCAGCCCTGCGGGTCCTGCCCGGGGGGAGACGGGGGGGCAGCCAGCGAGCGGAGGGTCTCATCTGAGTGTGGGGAGATGGGGGGAGAGATGAGGGCAAAAAGAGGTGAGGGGGAGCTCAAAAGGGAGGGCTTCGTACCCGGTGCCCCCTCTCCAACCCCATCCATCCGCCTCTGTCCCGTTGCAGGAGGATGGGCTGATCCCATCCCTGTATCTGAGGGATTTGGGAGCTGCCTTTGTGGTGGTTCCCATCACACTCAGCCCTTTGGAAGCCACGCACTGCTCAAGATATGGAGCACATCCCATTGCTTCTCCCCAAACCTGAGCATCCTTCTACTTCTTCCCAACACCGCTGTGTCCTCTGCAGACAGCAGCCTCGGGGTGGGGGGTGGGGGGGTGCAAAACACGGCCATATGTGATGGATGGGCTGGAGGGAGCAGCTGGGCTCTGTGCAACCGCTGTGCCCCTACAGCATGGCCATGCCATAGCGATGGGAATGGGGTGAGCACATTGCACACATTGCACATTGAGAACAAGGGGCCTCTCTGCTCGTATTGAAAGCAAACAGCAACGAAACTCAGCGTGCTCCCAGCCCTGGTGATGGGGAGGCAACACGCTGTGCTTGACCTCTGCGGAGTTCAAGGGAAGCAGCGTGTGGATCTGACACCCCCCCATCTGCACCCTCCCCACTGTGTGCTGCTGTTTTTAGTTCGCAGCCCGGCGTTTGCAGCCTTGCCACGGGATTTTTAGGGCATCTGACTCATGGTTCTGAGCGCTCGGGCTTGGCAGGGCTGTGGTTTGGTGTGGTGCAAGCTGTGCCCCCAGCACGGCCCCCCTGCCTGCCTTTGGGATGTGGCCGTGCTCCAGCCCCATCCCTGCATGGCCACTGCCTCCACTGGCCACCAGCCCTGTGCCCTCCCCTCACTAAAAGGCATTTCTTGTGCTCTCAGTTGGGTTTTGTTGGTTGTTTTTTTTTTTTTGCTTTCCAAATAATTCTCACTGTCTCGACCCCAGGAAGGGCTGCGAGCTGCTCACAGAGGCACGAGGATGGGCTGCAATGGCATCGTGCGTCTCCAAAGCCACAATGGAGACAGGGAGGAGAATGCAGAGCTTCCACCATTCCTGAGCCCACCTGCAACCTCGGGATGGGCGCAGTGGGACCTGGAGGGTCCCCATGGAGGGACACCCCACCTGGTGCCCCGCTGTGCCCTGCTTTGGGAACAGCCAACATCAGCCTCCAGCTCCAAGCCCCCGAGCTCGGCCGGGTACTGCGTGGGGACAGTGACACCTACAGGCATGTGACAAGGGCCACCTGTGTCCACTTGGCCACGCGGGTTGCTCCATGTCCCCAGCAGCGTGCCACAGAGCCAGTGCAAGGCCATGGGGGGGATAAGGGGCACTGAGGGCTATGCGGCTCAGGGAGCAATGCAGGGTGTGGGCACGGGCAGCACCACCCTGTGAGAGCGCATCTGCTGCCCACCATCCGGCCATGGAATGATGCCATCCTGCTGGGCTCCATCCGACGTCCCCGAGAGAAATCCCACGTTACATCCAATGCGGGGCGGCACGCAGCCGGTCACGATTATATTCCACAGGGGAGGTGGGCAGGATCCGCGCACCATGGGGGAGAAAGAGGCATCCCAAATGCTGCCTGAGGCAGAAACACAGCGAGGTGGGCAGGCACACGAGCTCTTGGCCATGAGATGGGTGAGGTTGTGTTCAGCACGGGGCCGGCACCGCATCCTTGCAGATGGGGAAACTGCAGCTTGACACTGAGCTGGGACACGCTGCCGCTGCTTCAGGATGTGCAGAGCCATCCCATAGCTCAGCTTCTCCGGTTGCACATCCTTCCAGCTCCTGAGCAAACCCACAGCTCAGCTGCACGTTTTTCTGCTGATGCCACGAAGCCTCTTTGCACGCCCTTGGTGTGAAGCCTCTCCTCCGGCCGCGCTCCCACCTCCTTGCTCCGCGTGCTGGGATGATGCAGGAAGGGCGACAGCATTGCTCTGATGCAAAAGGTGCTGGGGCACACGGAGCATCCTCACAAGGGTCGGTGGCACCCTGGGCAGCGAGGTGCTGGGGTGGGCATACAGCGGTTCCAGGCGGGGAGCTCAGCAGTAAATCCACCCACTGACCGCATACTGCGCTCCCACGGCCCCAGGGCACAACCCCAGCAGATTCCCATCGCCGTCCCCTTTTGGCAGCACAGATCTTTCCCCTAAACCCACTGGATCAGAAGGCACGGAGGCTTTTTTTTTCCTTGCACTTCACCTCCTGCTGCCTCACGGCACCACCAAGCGGGGCAAAACCCCCCAAACCTCCCCAGAGCTGCGAGGTCAGGATGGAGGAGCACGCAATTGCTAAACTCACATCAATAAAACATCTGCGGAGAATTTCAACCTAATCCCATCCATCCCTGGGGTGCTGCTGGAGCACGACGCGGGTTTGCAGGCGGATGCACGAGGCTCCAGCATTCAGCAAGCAGTGCGACCGCCCCGCTGTGCTCTGCAGCCTCTTTTTTCCCCTCTTTGCAATGCACATTTCCTTTTGGCGGCTGTGCCAGAGACCTCCGGGCGCAGGCAGCGTTAGGAGGTGAATGTTTATCCTCACAACTTGGCGATAAATAAAAGGTGCTGCTGAGGAGCACACAGCCTCGCTACTGCACGAGCGATCGTGTTATCCCCAACCAAAAGGGATTTTTTTTTGCCTCTCCGGGAAGAAAAGCGCTGATGCTGAGAGCTGGGCTCCTTCCTGCCCACCCCAAGGCATGGGGATGGGGATGGAGGCAGAGGGTCTGGCTTTCAGATAAACCAATGCCTCAAGGATGCACCCAATGCTCCTCATCCCGAAGGTGCCCATCCTTTGGAAGCTCCTCATCACACATCTCCCACTGAGCCCAAGGAGCACCCACACCGCTGCCCCCCAGCAGCCCCCAAACTCACCCCACCTCACACTGCCTGGCTGGAAGCCTCACGCTCCCCCCACCCAACAGCCCTACAGGGAAGGACGCCCCAAATCAGGGCTCTGATTTCTCCCACCCCACACAGCAGCACGGGACCCCAGCAGCGTGGCTCTCCTTCCCCTCCTCACAATGGGGACAGCGCATCCCCGCAGCCGCACATCCCCGGCGGTGCTGAACACCGCACACCCGGAGGGTCCCCGCACACACGGGGGGCTCCGCCCGGAGCTCTGTGTGTCGAAATCCACCTCTCCCATCCCCTCACCCCGTGGCTGCTCCCGGGCTGTGTTACAGCAGGGCAATGGGATGGCGGTTGAGTGCTGGAGCACAGCTGGAGCGCAGCACGCAACCAAACCGCGTTCCTACGGATTTCAGGACCAAAACGCACTTTCCTGATTCCCTCTTCCCGATTTCCTCCCTTCTCACCCCTCGGCCTCCGACTTTTCTCCCTTCCCTCCGCTTTTTTTGGCTGTGCCGTCCGCAGCTCCGCGTTGTGCTGCCCTACAGCCGCTCCTGGCACAGCCGGAGCTCCGAATAACGCGCACACGGACGAAAGCAGAGCGCACGGATTGCAGCAGCGGGGACGGCAATTCCCTGCGCTCTCACACATGCAATCGGCTCAACTTTCCCGAGCGACTCCGAACGCTGCGCTTGGAAGGCATTGCAAGGAATAGGGGGAACGAAGGCAAAGGGGGGAAGCAGAACCCAAAATGCAAAGACAGCGCTGCGAGGAGAGGGGACGGGAGGCTGCCGCACGCCGATGGCTGATCCCGCTGCTCCCTGGGGCACGGCCCTGCGAACCGGGGCTTTATCCCCGCCTTAAGTTGGATGGAGATCGGGAAAATCGAGCTGCCCTCGGCTGAATTCCTGCTCCCGGTGCAGGCGCAGAGCGCGGAGGGGAGGACTCGCACCGCTGCCCTCCGTCCCCGGTGCCACTCACCTACAAAGAGGACGATGCAGAAGGCGTTGGCCAAAATCATGTTAGTACATCCACGAGTTCCTCCACGTGCGTTAAAAAAAAAAAAAAAAAAGGAAGAAAACGAAGACAATTCCCAACGCGATTCTCCAGATAGATCCCAAATCCGGGTGAGGAGCGCTGCGGAGGAGCGCGGTGTGCGCTGAGCCCGTTGCGGGGCCGCTCAGCCCCGTCCCGCCGCCTCCCGCATCCCCATCGCCTCCCGCAGCCCCCGGCCCCGCTGCTCTCGCCGAGCGCCGGCGGCGGAGGAGAAGGGGCAGAGCCGGCGGTGCCGCCCGTCCCTCCCTCCCTCCCGCCCCGGCCCGGCCCTCCCCGCCGCTCTCCGCCCCTCCGCGGGGTTCGGGCGCAGCGCAGCGCGGGGGGAGCGCGGCCGCGGACGCCCTTCCGTCGCCCTTCTGTAGGGCTGGGGACGGGGCTGCGCCCAGAGCGCGGCTGGGGGACGCCCGGCTCTCCTTCCCCCATCCTTGCACCTCCGTGTCCCTCCAACCTATCGCCCCTTCATCCCTACTCCTTGTGATCCTCCATCCCTGTATCCCCGTCCCTCCACCCCCCATCCCTCCATCCCTGTATCCCTCCATCCCCCAATCCCTCCGTCCCAGTGTTACTCTGTCCCCATATCTCCTCATCCATGTGCCCCCAACCACACCCCACTCCACCCCCCATCTCTCCACCCCCCTGCAGCTGCAAAGCACAATGGGGGACCCGAGGTGACTCCTCTGTGGTGCAGATCCCCATCTCCCCCCGTTCCCCTTCTTCTTTCCCAGCCCTGGTCCCTGCACTGTGGGGGTGGGGATGGGGGGACCTGGTGGGTCATGGGGGTCTGATGGGATCGGGATGGGATGGGGATAGGGTGGGCATGAGGATGGGGATGGGGATGGAATGGAATGGGATGGAATGGGATGGAATGGGATGGGATGGGATGGGATGGGATGGAGTAGGATGGGAATGAGGATAGGATGGGGATAGGAATCAGGATGGGATGGGGATAGGGATGAGGATGGGGATGGGATGGGGATGGAGATGGGGATGGGGATGGAGATGGAGATGATGGAGATGGGGGTGGGGTTGGGAGCACCTCTCTGCCTCTACCTGGAGCTGATAAGGGATCTCCCCACACAACCTTGCCCCTGGCAGCGAGGTGCTGGCACAGCTCACCGTGCTGGGTGAAGATGCAGAAAGGAAGATGGGGATGGCACGAACAACAGATCAGAGCAATAATCGTTAGCGAGGCTTCCTGTTTAACATCCTTTCCTGTCCTACTCTTCTCCTGTTCTTTGCTCTCCTTTGCTTGTCTTTGCAAAAAAAAAAAAAAAAAAAGCCAAACACCAAAAAGCGCACAGCAGCTTAGCAGGATGTGACTGTGCTTCACGGAGCCTAAATGCAGACAGCAGTGCCAAGCAGTGTCCTTAACTGCCCGGCATCACTTTGATTTTGTCAGCTCTCGTCGCACCGTGTGCTAACACTTGTCTTCCTGCTGCAGGGTTATCCCCCAGTGCCAGTCCTGACGAGACAAAACCTCTCTTCGTTCTGTCCTTGTCCCCATATCCCTGCCCTAATTCCCTGAGCTGAAGGGTGGCTGCTTTGTGTGGGGTTGTTGCAGGAATCTGTGGGGTTAATCTCACCCCTCTCCTTGCTGCATTATCCCAGTGAGGATTTCAGGCCCTGGGAGCCCCTCCAGCCAAGGGGGGCCCTGAGTGTGCAGCTGTGACTGGGGGTCAGGCTGGGTGGCACTCTGCTGTAGAGGGAGGTGCAACACACACAAGGAGGTTTTTGGGGATGTGGGATGCAGGAGGGAGGCTGAGCCTTCAGGGAGGGCTGATTTGGGATCAAAGGAGTGTGCACTAATACAGCCCTGCACGTATTTGTGTTTGGAAAGCAAACAAACTCATTATGCTGCAGCACAGAGCAAATGGAATGACAGCACAACGTCACCAAAAGGCCCCATCCCGGTGTCCCCTCCCACGGCCAGGACGGTTACATCCATGCATTGCCTCCTGCATGCCATGGGCTGCACCGTGTGCTCTGCTCCTTTTTTGCTCCAAAGCTCCAGGATTTTCCCATTCAGGGCAGGGGATGCAGACCCAGAAGCGCACGGATCACCGGGATGCACACGGGGAAAAGCTGCACCAACCATCACAAAACTCCCCTTGGCTTTCTGCAGGGGCAGCACTTTGTCTCCATCCTCCTCCCAACATCGGGGTGCCCTGAAAGAACAGATCCAAGGGCTGAACCACAGCATGGCACCGTCACCCCTCTCTCCCTTTGGGAATCTCCTTAGGGATCCTATTTGCAGGGCTGCTGACAGCAGCTGCTCGTAGCCACTGGCTATGGGAGTCCTTGCTGCACCCCGACGCTGATGGACCCCGACAGCTCCATGCACACACGGGCTATTTTTTCCCTCGCTGCTGTTTCCAGAGCTGATTCTCCCTCTTTAACCTCTGCCAGGGAAAACTTATCCCTCCCTCGTCCCCCATTTGGGAGCAGAGCTGCAGGGGTTGGGAGCAACGCATGGCAAAGCCGTCCACAAAATCCGAGCCCTTTGTGGATCAGGGGACCCTGCAAAACTGGTTTCTGTGTGCAAACGGCATTTTGTTCCCTCTGCGCCAGGATGGAGGGGAGAGTGCAGGAAAAAGAAATGGGGTTTTGCAGATGGATGTGGGGGAGAGCAGGGGGGTGAGGTTACAGTGTCACAGCATCAGGCAACGATGACATCAGGTTTCACTAAAAGCTCCCCCCCCCACACACACTGGTGCTGGGGGATGAGATTTCCATCTCCTCGTTGGATGCAGGGAGGGGTAATTGCCATGGATTGCGTTGGGGCAGGGAGTGCTTGAGTGGATCTGACATAATCAAATGAAGCTTCCCGTGCCTTCGCTGTTAGCAGGACGGGGCCCTTTGGCAGGAAGCAGCATTACATTCCTATAGATCAACGCCATGGTGGGGAGGGGGCGAGCCCTGCAGAGGGGCGAGGGGGGCTCTGAGTGACCTCACTGCACCATGCAACGTGCTGGGGGGGTGAGCAAAGCAGCAGCAGGTGTCCAGACAGCAGCAGTGATGCACTGCAAACCCATGCAATTGAGGGAGGGATGCAGACCCCCTATGGAGTAGCATCATCCCCAGCCTGGACAAGAGATGCACACAGCCACGCAATGATCCCTGCCACGTCCCCACATCCCTTGATTCCTTTTATTGTCTGCTTTGCACTCTGAGCCCTGCTTGCTGTGTCAGCACCATATTTATAGCTGCTCTGCTCCCGGCCCGACGGCAGCGCATCCCTTCCCCATCTGATCCCTACCTGCCGGCAGCACCAGGTGCCCAACTCCATCCCTCCCCCCTGGAACAGCACCACATCTAGCAGAACATTTGGGGGAACGTTTCTCACTCAGCAGATCCACCCTCTGTACCCCCACCCCAAGCTGGGGCTGCAAGCAGTGTTTGCAGGGTGCAAATTTCTGCAAAGAGCAAAGGGAACGCTGTGAATAATCAAAGCCCTCTGTGAGCTGCAGATCCTGCCAGCACAGAGCGAGCATCCCGTGGGAAAGGCATTGCAAAGCCCCATCACAAAACCCAGCCCTGTGCCTGCCAGGAAACTTCCCTTTCCCCACCCCAACCCCCCAAATCCCTCCTCATTTTTTGTTTATAAGTCAAATGCCAATAGCGAAATACAAATCAGCTGTGAAGGCAGAGAGTTTTCCCCTCTGAAATGTTCAGAGCTGCTCTGCATCCCAAGCTCCAGCTGCAAAGCGCATCCCCATGCATGCACTGCAGGAATGCTTTGCACTGAGGCATTCACACTGCATGCTGCACGCATCCTGCCCTGCCTTTGGACTGGAGGAACGCAGCAGGATGGATTTGGGAAGCCAGACAAACTGTTGCATGGAGTTTGCAGTGGAGCAAATCAGCTCAGCAAAGTGCTGATCCCCACAGCTGGCTTTTGCAGTGGTGTTTGGGTGCTGCAGCACCACTTGCAGTGCTGGGAGTGCTGAGATCTGCTGAGCAAAGCCAGGGACAGCCCTAATTGAGCTCCCCAAGCACAAATTGGATGTGTCCAGCTTGGAAACCAGGCGGCTCCCAAGTTTCTCCCATGCATACTGTATCTTCATTAGGCAGTACTGCTGCCAATTAGCTCAGGGCCTCTCATTAGCACTACTCGACCTGCCAGGAGCTGCAAGGACCAAAAGCTGGTGTGGCTCCTCCAAATCCCATTGCAATGGGCTGGTGGGGAGCATCCCTCTTTGCAGCTTGATTTCCCTTCCCAGCTTGAAGGGAGCTCTTTTTTTTCCCCCTAAATGAGCCCTGCCTGCTCTCATCACCTGACCCAGTGCTATTTGTCCCCTGCTGTCCCCTCAGCCCCCATGCAAGGGCAGCAGCAGAGCCCCGGATGGGCAGAGCAGCAGTGGGAGATGTGGATGCAGTTGACTTGCTCTGGGTAATATCTCCTGATTATTTGGCTGCCGCATGCTGAGGCTGCGGAGTAATCGAATTAGGCAAATATTATGGGGAAGAAATGGGCAGATAAGTAGCTTAAAGTGATCGAAATGACCTGGAGGTGGCCATGCAAATGGTCTGGATAATATCCTGTAATAACCCCAGCCAGGCAGCTGCTGGGAGATGGGATTCCAGTAATAGGGTGGCTGGGGGGGGCTGATGGGAGTGAGCTGGGGGGGCAGAGCAGGATAACCCCCATTCCCCTGCATGGGGGCACAGGCAGCATCATCCAGGCTGAGATGCAGTGGGTTGTGCTGCAAGGTCAGGGTCAGGGTTGGAGTTGGGGTTGGGGTCAGGGTTGGGGTTGGGGTCAGGGTTGGGGTTGGGGTCGGGGTGCTTCTCTTTGCCCCCCAGGGATGATAAATAGAGTCAGGCTCAACCCAACACCCCTCATTCCCAGCCTGGTACCCCCAGGGCAGAGAGGATCAGCCAGGGACAGGACACACTGATACAGAATTGATATGGGATTGAGAGGGGATTGATAAGGGATTGATATGGAATGGATATGGGGCTGATATGGAATTGTTGCATGATCAAGATGGGATTGATA